AAAAAGTAAAACAAATAAATAGTAATATCTATAAATAAAAATTGTTTTAAAGTAATTTTCTCCTAATTTTAAACTACTCTATTTAAAGTATGAAGTAGATTATTTTTAGTCTTTTCTTTGGGGGTGGAAAGGGGGCATGAAATTTGGGTCCAATTAATTTGGGCTTAATGCAGGTTATTAGGTATTTTCAAAGAATTTGGTGAGATTGAATTTTTTAATTCTTTAATATCAGAAAATTTAAAGGTTGATTTATTAGTAATTAACTTTCTTAAGGGTTATTACAGGTTAGGTCTAAGTTCTAAGTTGAAGTCTTGAGCTAGTATCCAAGGAAATTAACTTTTTTAAATGTATTAAATTAATATGTAGATGCATCTTTAAAATTGTTTAGAGAAAAATTAATTTTAAAATGTATAAAAATTAATTTTGATACACTCAAAGTGTTCAAACCAAATAATAATAATAATAATAATATAATTCATTGTTTTATATTTTAGACAATAAGGACATTTAGATAAGGAGAAAGTTTTTTTATATTGGAGTTTTCCCTTTATTTAAAAGTTTTTGTTTTACCATTTGAATTATAAAATATTTTTTTGATAATAACAACAAGAACAAAAACAATAAGGTTAAAAACAACAAGACACTAAATTGCAAAATGCAACCATCACATACCTAGGGAGGAGGGTTTGTCCTTACTTGACGGATGGATTTGTATAATATAATGCACTCTAGATTACAAAAAATATTTTTATTTGATAAATATTTTTTTATTAAAAAAAAAAAAATCTTCAAACATCTGCTTCACTCTAAACAAACAAGAAAATGTCCAAGTGGAAATAATCCGTACAATGCACATCAAACAACTGATACTGATCTTCAAACTTTAGATAAGGCAACTTCCTGCTGGTCATCCGCAAAATCCTCGGAGCGAAAACATGGGGGGATATAGGATTTGATTATCCATTCCAATTCCATGTCAGTAATTTCCGCTTGTTCATGGCAAACAACCTCAAGGGCTGTATGACGAAAAACCGGATAGAATTTCTTTCTACAGACGAAGGCGAAGATCAAGGAAAGTATAACAAGTGGAACTGCGAGTGGAGCATAGTAAAACTCCTTAGCACCAAAGTAACCAAGCATGGTAACTTGGAATAGCAGCAGAGCAGCAAGCATACGCGAATGCATGTGCGGCCACCCCCTTCCATAGCTCTCAAATGATGGAGCATAAACTTTCAGTGCCTGTTAAACAACATAGCAAGAAATGTATTTCCTTAACACGAAATTGAATTCGCAAAAACCATCTTCCTTGCAAGTTTGAAATCTACTGGGCAAATGTAAATAAGAATCTTTCTTTCTTGGCAAGTTTTCGATTCTTTGGGAGAAGAAGCTAGCTCTTCTCATTTGCTTAACATGAAATTAAATTTAGCAAATATGATTATAGGAGGAGCAGGAAAATACTGAAGGAGAACCTGATTCCGCAGAACTAGCCATGCTAAACCAAAGTAAAGCACTCCAAATGGGATGATAATGGGAGCCATGACTGAGTAGCAGAGGACAATTGTGATCACAAGCATGTCATGAGGGAATCTTTTTCCATAGTTGAGATCTCCAGGCATCCAAGATTCTCTTATCTCAGCTTCGGTTTTGCAATAAAACTTCTTCTTCAGGTGAAATTTGGTTAGAGGAATTATTCGAGAAAGCTCAAGTCCAAAGCCCCCTAAGCAACTGTGATACAAAAATTTATTGTAAGTGGAGAATCAAAAGTCAATGGAAGCTTAAGCTAAGATATTAAGCTTAAACTTACTGTAGTGCCACATAGGTGAGGAAGAAAGTTGCACGGTCTGGGAGGCTTTCAGCCAGTATGGTAACAATGGAATTGATTGGATTATACTGAATTCTCTTGATTGTACTGAATACAGTTCCTCCAATAGAAAATCCAATGAAAACATTCACCACGATAAAATAAAAATATTTCCCAGATGCAGCCCTTATTGCATGGCTCTCAGAAGGAATTCCTTCAATCTTGGAGAGAAACAAAAGAAACTTGGGTAAAACAGCCATGAATAGATACAGAGTAAGCTGGGGAAGATAAGATTCTAATAATGTCTCAATGGCTCTGATTTTGAGAATTGGGATTAAAAACGGAAGAAATTTCTTCAAGTTAGTAAGGGTTGTTAATGCAGAAATAAAGGATATGGGAATCAAGTAAAAGGATATGGTTAGAAACACGATGACATACACAACATACTGTCGTGTTTGCCTATGAAAGAACTTGACTGTGAGATTCTTCCATATAAGTTGTTGAGGTTCAGGAGCATCTATAACAGTCCAATTATCCACCATCTGAGCATGTAAACTTTGACCAGCACAAGCTGCAGTCACCCGACTTTTGAAGAAAACTAGTGCAGAACATTGCTGCCGCTTCTGAACAGTGACCTTTTGTTCATCTTTCAAGTTGCGGGTTAGTTCTCTGATCTTTTCAGTGTAGTAATCTATGCTATCAAGCTTTTTGCCAATTTTAAGGCCATGGACGCCAGTTTTGTTTGTTGGTCTTATTCCTTCTGTATTTCCTTTCTTCTTTGATTTTGCATATTTAGCTTCTGCATGTGCAAGCTTCCTTTTGCAACCTTCCAATTCTTTCCAGATTTTATTAACCTAAAACGAATACAGATAAAGACATCCAACGAGGACAAAACAATTTAGAGGATCATTTTCATGATAAAGATTCTGAAAACATCTCAGGGAAAATCCATAAAGAAGTCAAAACATGTGGTGACCAAATATCGGACTCAAAGAAAACTTAATTACTTATATGCAACCAATACAACAATATTGTTACCTTTGTGTTGTCTGTAATTACCAGAGATCTGTAGAATGTATTGGGATAGATGGTTCTAAAATATGAATCAACCTGTTGTTTCTTGCTTTGACCTTCTGGGGGATTTGGTACGTCTCTTACAAGAACAGCAAATTGCTCAGGTTTCACTTTAGGAGACATTAAGGCCTTGGCTCTCATTTGAGTAACATGTTTATAAGCCTTCCATAACAAGTAGTAAGTGACAAAAGAAACCCAGTAGGTAGCTATAAGGAATGCCCACAGCCTCGGACTTCTTTCCTGTACATTCAAAGTAAAAGGCAAACCACATCAATTCACAGTGAGAAAGTTCCAGAAGATTCTGCAGCTCAGAAGCCCCAATAAATCATATTAGAAATTGAATCACAGGCAAAAAAAAAGGAAGTTTATTTTGCTTACTTTGACATTTCCCATTGATAACTTGTCAAGTCTACTGAAAGTCCCATTTATTAAAGCTTGTGAATAATTTGACGTTGAGTTTGCCCAATTATCACTATCAATTATGGCACTATCAGTTGCAGCCACTGGTACAAGAACTGGCAGCAGAATTACGCCAGAAGATAAAATTCCAAGCACTGTCACATTAATTGAGAAAAAGAAACACATCAGAATTTGTGTCCTTTTGTGCTCAACTATTAAGATTCAGCTTCACTTTTTTTTTTAACATATAATGTTTCATACAATTTTTTTGGAATGGATGACCCGATATTTGGAAGCTTACTAGGCTACCGATTAATTCGGATTCGAGTTAGTTAGGACTCAATGGGTGACAAAACTCTCCCTCACGAGTTTTAACGGAGTTGTATTTTCAGAACTTGAAACCAAGATCTCTGATTAAGCTGGAAGAGTCCCTTATCAACTCATCCACTCGTTCGTGGTTTTAATGTTTCATAAATGTAACGTAATATCAAGTACCCGAGTGGATACCAAAGTAGTCAATACCGTACTGGCATGTGTACTGGTTTTGTTATTGAAACGGTACGTACCGGTTTTGTTATTGAAACGGTACGTACCGGATAGCGGAACTTTTTGTGTACCGTTTCGGATTTATCGTTATAAAAAAAATTTATGAAAAATTTTGGGGAGAAGTTGAAGAAAAAAAACAAGAAAAGGACTCAATTGAAAAAATTAAAAAGCTGAGGATGAAATTTACTAAAATAAACCCATAAGCCCAGCCCAATATTAA